ATTTTACCTTAATCCTAAACATACCGCCCGCCTCGAAGCTTTAGTTTCGAAATTTTCTGACTTTGAATGTGATGAAGTTCGAGGAGGTCGATATGTGAACGCACGAAATCTTATGAGCTAATCGAACGCAAACTTACATACTGTCGCAGAACTTTCTTTACAAGACTTAAGCAATAAGGGTAACCAGAATATCGCACGAACCGCCCGCCGTGGCAGACAGATCAGCGACGAGAGGGCTGAAGAGAAGTCGAATCGTTACTAGAAGTCTCGTCAGAACGCGTCTCACAGTCAATCGGCAGCAAACACAGTTTTACGATCGGCCGGGTATACTCGGACGTCGCGGTTTTGACAGTCACAACACGAATCAATCCATCGGAACCGGCGTGGCACTGGGTAATTCGACCAAGCTCCCATTTACAAGGAGGCAGTGTGGCATTCCGCAATAAAACGAGCTGCCCAACTTTCACGGGCGTTTGCAATTTTCGCCATTTAACACGCTGCTGCAACGTGTTAACGTAATCTGTTTGCCACAATTTCCAAAAGCGCTCGGTCAAATGTCGAACTCGTTGCCACCTCGACAACCGATTTTCATGCAAAGCTAATAGCGATGGCTCCGGATTGACCGTGATCGCCGATCCGATTAAAAAATGTCCGGGCGTTAAGACCTCGTAATCATTGAGCGTATCTTTCAACGGAGCGAGCGGACGCGAATTAAGACACGCTTCAATTCGGCACAACAAAGTCGTAAGCTCTTCGAACGTGAGCGTGTGATTCTGGAGCACCCGACGGAGATGATGTTTCACGCTCCGGACTCCGGCTTCCCATAAACCACCGAAATGTGGCGCAGACGGGGGAATAAAATGCCATTGGACATTGTCGGAAGCGGTGGCGTTGAGAAAATTCGGATCATTAACGGCTGCGCGATATGCCTGGGATAACTCTTTAGTGGCTCCGACAAACGTTGTCCCGTTATCGGAGTACATTGACTCCGGCAATCCTCGACGAGCGCAAAATCGAGAAAAGGCGTCTAGAAACGCGGGTGTGAAATAATTTCCTACTAATTCTAAATGGATCGCGCGGGTTGCAAGACACACAAACAACGCGATATACGCCTTTCGTGAACTAATTCCGCGGCCACCGGAAGCGCGAACTTGTACGGGTCCCGCGTAATCGAGACCGCAATGTAAGAAACTGCGCGATGGCGGAGACACTCGCAGGGTAGGAAGATCTCCCATGAGTTGCTGGGGCACGACCGCTTTTTCACGCGTGCAGACCACGCAATTATGAATTATCGATCGGACCGCGCTTCGCGCTCGTAAGATCCAGAAGTCCTGTCGCAGTGCTGCGAGCGTGAGCTGCATGCCTGCATGAAGCGTTCGCGAATGAGCTTGCCGAATGAGTAGAGTCACTAACGGATGTGACGCGAGTAAAATTGGATGCTTAGAATTAAACGAGATCGGAGCGTTTTTCAAGCGCCCTCCGACTCGAAGCAATCCCTCGTGATCAACAAATGGATTTAACGATAAGAGCGGACTTTTAGCATTTAATGGTTTGTGGTTGGTCAACGCGGTAAGTTCGGCGGAAAATAATTCAAGTTGAATCTGCTTGAGCCAGAATGTGCAAGCGCGATGACATTCGTGGACCGACAAGGCAAGTCCCGGAGGCGCGAGATCCGATGACCCATCCGCAAGACGACAGCGAGACACGAATTTCATGATGTACGCTGTTACACGAATGAGTTTAGCCCACTCTGAATACTGTGCTGCTAGATTCCACGAGACGGGAGGAGTCGCAACGTGTACAGTGACTGCGCGTTCCTCGAGCGACGTTTCGGCGAGAGGCGAGGTAAGGCCTTCCGGCCATTTTTCCTGAGGGAACTGAAGCCATGGGGGTCCCCGCCACCATAACGGGTGATTCACTAATTCGTGACCGAGTAAGCCGCGAGATGCACAATCTGCCGGATTGTCCGCGGTAGCTACGTGACGCCATGTCACGTTCGGGAGAAGCGATTGAATTCTTGATACGCGATTCGCAACGAAAGTTTTCCAATGAGACGGATGCCGTTTCAACCATGCGAGTACGATTTCGGAATCACTCCAACAATATCGCGCAACGACATCAACCGCGATCGATTCTTGAACAAATTCCATTAAATCAGCTAATAATAACGCGGCAGAGAGCTCCAACCGAGGGACGCTCATCGTTTTGATCGGAGCTACCTTAGATTTTCCCGCGAGAAGCGAGATTGTTACTTCGCCCGACTGTGATACTACGCGAAGATATACGACGGCTGCGTATGCAACAGTAGATGCATCAGCGAAGCCGTGCAACTCACAACGAACGGAATCAGATTCCTGCCCTGTCCAACGCGGAAGCTGCACTTCATTAAGCGCGGATACATTCGTGTAGATAAGCTGCCAATCGCGGAACACGTCGGGAGGAAGTTCGTCGTCCCAATCGAGCTTGAGACGCCATAATCGTTGCATAAAAACTTTCGCGGTAATTATGACGGGGGTGACCCATCCGAGCGGGTCAAACAACTTCGCGATCATTGAGAGAATTGTTCGTTTCGTTTTCGGGATGTGAGCTTCGATCGCGACCCGATACTGGAACACATCTCGCGCGGGATTCCAGCTAATTCCGAGAATCTTTAAATGTTCATCAGTTTGCAAAATTTTATTGCATGCGAGACCGTGATTGGCCGGATCGATATCCGATAAAAGCTCCGAGTCGTTGCTCGCCCATTTTCGCAGTTCAAAGCCGCCCTTTTTTAAGAGTGCGATGAGTTGAGTGCGAGCTTGACGGAGGCAACCGCGTGTGTGTGCGCCGAAAAGAACCTCATCGATATATTTTTTCTTGCGAAGGATGATGACGGCCAACGGGAAAGCTTGTCCTTCATCGATAACTAACTGCTCAAGGACACGAAGTGCTAAGAACGGAGCAGCTGCGGTACCGTACGTTACGGTAAGCAGCATATATTCACGCAGAGGTTCGCTGGGATTCTTCCGCCAAAGAATCCTTTGATATGTCACGTCGCGCGGGTCCACGAGAATTTGCCGATACATTTTGGTAGCATCAGCCGTATACACAAATCGATGTTGCCGCCACTGGAGAATGACAACTGGCAAATCGGGTTGAAGTTTAGGACCCGAGAGAAGATGATCATTCAATGATGATCCGTTAGAAGAGGGACATGACGCGTTGAAAACGACACGCAGATGCGTAGTTTTACTGTCTTCCCGGATAACGGGGTGATGCGGAATGAAAACGCATTGCGTATCATTGGAGTCGGAAGCGGGTACTTCCCTCATGTGCCCGAGAGCTTCATATTCGCGAAGAAATTCGGAATACTCGTCCCGTTGCGCAGGATGAGCATCGAATCTCCGAATTAACCCGTTAAGGTATTTCTCGGCGATAGCGCGAGAATGTCCGATTTCGATCGGAGGGCCTTCCTTAAATGGAAGACGTACAATATAGCGTCCGTCAGGACAGCGCGAATGAGTGAGGCGAAAATGCTCTTCGCATTTTTCGTCCTCGGGAGTGAGAGTCATCTTTCGCGGAATCTCTTCGACCTCCCAAAACCGTCGGAGTTCCTGATCGAGCGACAAGGAATTGAGACTGTGATGAGCATTCACAGTATACGAAGGTCGATCGTGTGACGAGTCAACCGAGATGGCATGTGAGGCCACCTGACTAGAAGTGATAGGTCCCGATATTACCCATCCCAATATCGAATTTTGAGCGATAGGCTGTCCCACCGCCCCTTTTCGAATTCCGTCTTTAATGAGAGCGCTATACAATTCCGCGCCCACTATAATGCTAATGGGATCTGCGCTCATGGGGTCGTGGTCAGCCCATGGGAGATCCTCGAGATGAGCCAACGTCGCCTTGAGCGGCAAACGTTTTGGCGCGTATGCCGTGAGCGATTTTAAAATTAATGCGGTCGTCGAGAATGCCGGAGTCTGTTTACCTTTCGGCGAGATCGTTATTCGCGCGGCATATCGATACGTCCCGGCATTTACACACCCGACGGCCGAAACCGAAGTTGGCATTCGAATTCTCTTCAGCCGTAAACACTGCGCGAGGTTCTCGGTTATAAAGGTCATTTCGGAGCCTTGATCAAGCAAGGCTCTTACAATCACAGAACGGCCCGAAGACGCGCTAACGGTAAGCCGAGCTGTCGCGAGCAAAACATGCGAACGAGTGGTGTGCGAAGACGCAAACAATGAGCTTACTTCGCTACTGGGCGTTTCACTTTGTTTCGGCGTGTCGGTTGACGCCGTGACCGCTGCGGGTTTCGAGGAAGAGTCGGAATCTACATGGAGCAACGTGTGATGTTTTCTCTGACAAAGACGGCATGAATATTTACTGGAGCACGTTTTTGCCCCATGATTTGAACTTAAACAGTTAAAACACCGTTTCTCTTTCTGCACAAGTTCTCGCCTCTGATTCGGACTCTTCTCGGTAAATTTAGGACAAACGTAGAAAGCATGCTTCGCTTTACACAACGAACACGGCGGAAACGATTTCGCGCACACGTTAGCACTAATCTTTTGCGCATTCGAATTTTTCGCTTTATCGGAGGAAGAAAGGGGGAGCTTCCAATTTTCGAGAGCTCGGATTCGGTTATCCAAGAATTTTTTAAAGTCATCGTATGACGGAGGATGTCGAGCTTCACCAAACTTTAAATTCCATGCCTTTCGCGTAACTGCATCGAGTTTTTGTGACCCAAGACTGATGAGAATATTGCTCCATAACTCTTCAGGCGTGCGATTCAATTTGTCGAGAGCTGCAA